GTGAGATTTCTGAAGGAGTGGCTGTGGAGAAGAGAGTGATGAAGAGCAAAAGAAACAGAGATGGGAAGGTTGATTAGAAAGCTCTCTTGGAATTCAAAGAAAGAGAACCTCTCGAAAAGCGGATACTCAGCTGCAGAGAGATGAGAGGAACAGCCTGGGAAACTGTAGCTTCACTGGGCTCTAAATGTGGAACTAGATTCAAGGGAGTAGGTAATATAAAAGTGGAAGCAGTGGGTGGAGACCAGAAGTTTGGCAGAGAAAGGAAATAGAAGGGCCAGGGTAGTTTACTAGTGGAGCAGCTTAGTCAAGGCTTTTTGTTTGCTTTGTTTTAAATCTGGGACAGAGGAGGCTTGTTTCAGAGGGCAGACAGAAGAAAGGGCAAGTGAATTAGTGGGGAGTGAAGAAGATAGAGAGGATTCAGCTGAACAGAGGAGACAAGGCAGACAGTGGTGGAGACAGCAGATGGGAAGGGAAGCAATACATCCCCCATCAGAGACCAGTGGGGAGGATGAGAGAAAGGGTGTAAAGAGAGATGCTTGGAGGCAGAATGGAGAGAAGATGAGGCATCTGTCATGTGTTTCCAGGATCGATAAGACAGTAACATGAGGTGTCTGATGCATTCAACAGAGTCTGTGAATCAAGTTACAGTGGGGATGTCCAAATTGCTTTTCTCCCCAGGACACTTCACAGAAGATTATATTTCTGTAAACTGATGTTTAAGCGAGGAAAAAGAAATAAAACTAAAAGGATACATAGTCTGTTACGCACCTTAGCTTTGTAGCTCCCAGTGAAAATGGGGTGATTGTCTTGTCATGACAAGAAGCAGATAATGCAAAACACATTATGACATGATACAGGCAATTGGTCATCACTTATATGAAATAAAAGTACAGATGTAATTGGAGGTGACATACATTTCATAATTGTGCTGTGGGACTTTCTCTGGGAGGATCCCGGAGAAGCCAAATATCAAGTCTGGTGGCTGTGACTTACTTTGGTGAGTAATAAACTCATTACAAAAAGAAGAAAGACTTGCTATGAATCAGAGGCAGAGCCAGGAGGTAGTCTATCTTTGGTTCCTACTATCAGATCAAACCACTCAATGCCAGAAGAACTGGAGAAACCTGTAGGAAAGGAGAGAGTCATTGTGCCTTGTCTGATAAAAGTTGCTGCACTCTGTCTGTCTGTCTGACTGTCGCTCTCTGACAAAATTGTACTATTGTTCAAGGCAATGGTTTTCACCCTGAAAAGGCAGCTTGTGCCAATGTTGTGATGGTGATTATGGCCCTCACTCAGATCTTCCCTTTTTGAACCAGTCATGTGGCACGCAAGAGACTCTAACCAAGCCCCTTCTTGGCACATTTTGTGCTCCTGGACACACCCCTCCTTGAGTCTATATAACGAAATAAAAAGCACAAATAGTGGCAGGACTGGGTGGCAGGTGAATGAAGGAGGGCAGTACTCTCTTATTAAGACCTTTTACTTAATGACAACTACTTCAAAGAAGTGCGAGGCCAAGAGAATTGGCCAAAAAGTCCAAGCAGATGCTTGTAGGGGAAAAGAGTGTGGGAAAATATAACTATTTCTTGCAAAGTAGCTACAATCATGCCATTATCATGGACTCATGATAATATAATTGAATTAGGCCCTATGATTATAACAGTTTCCTGTCCAAAAAACAACAAAAAAAATTCAGTTGCTAAGTTGTGTCCGACTCTTTGTGACTCCATGGACTGCAGCATGCCAGGCTTCCCTGTCCTTCACTATTCCAAGTCAAGGGGTCCTAATAAAGGTGTAATTTGTGAATCTCTGCTGAGATGGGTCAACACTCCCCAAGGAGTGTTTGGAAATGTGAGGGTTGTTTTAGATTGTCACAATGACTAGGATGAGGCTGGTGTTTAGTGGGGATGGGGTGCAGTGATGCTTAATGTCCCTGCACCAACTGCTTAAAGAGAGCAGCACGGGAAAGAATGGCCCCACCAAACATGCTAATATCATCCTGATGAAAAATACCAAGTCACAGACACCTCCCTCATGGAACAGTCTTCATAACTTTAATTTATGAATAAGATTCTTTGAAAACAAAAATCCACGTAAGTTGGATGTTCTAACACTGATTACATTCAATACCATTTTCAAATATGAAGGATAAGTACCTAGGGAGAGAGCCTAAGTTTGGGGAGAAAGAATAAACTTGTTTGGATCTATGTTCAAAATACAGCATAAATGGGAGAGGGAGGTAGGGAATTACTGTTTACTGGGTAGAGGGTCAGTTTTGCAAGATGAAAAACTTCTAGAGATCTGTAGATACAACAATATGAATATACTTATCACTATTGAATTGTACATGTAGTGCTCGCTTCGGCAGCACATATACTAGAATTGTACATGTAAAAATGGTTAAAATGGTACCCACAGACATAGAAAACAAACTTATGGTTATCAAAGGCAAAAGGGGAAGGAAGGGATAAATTAGGAATTTGGGGCCAATATATACACATTACTATATATAAAACAAACAGGGAAGTATATTTGATATTTTGTAATCATCTATAATGGAAAATAACCTGAAAGAGGGACCTCCCTGGTGGTACAGTGGATAAGAATCCACCTGCCAATGCAGGGTCATGGATTCAATCCCTGATCCAGAAAGATCTCACATGCAATGGAGCAACTAAAGCCTGTGTGCCATGACTACTGAGCCCACAAGCCCCAACTACTGAGTCCGCATGCTGCAACTACTGAAGCCTGTGCGCCAAGAGCCTGTGTTCCACACTAAGAGAAGCCACCACAACGAGAAGCCGTGCACCCCAAGGATGAGTAGCCCCTGCTCACTACGACTAGAGAAAGCCTGTGTGCAGCAGCCAAGACCCAGGGCAACCAAAAATAATTTTAACAAATAAAATGTATACACTGCCAGGGGCTTCCCAGGTGGCACTACTGGTAAAGAATCTGCCTGCCAATGCAATGTAAGAGACGTAGGTTTGATCCCTGGGTCGGGAAGATCCCCTCGAGGAGGGCATGGCAACCCATTCCAGTATTGTTGCCTGGAGAACCCCACGGACAGAGGAGCCTGGTGAGCAATGGTCTACTGGGATGCAAAGAGTTGGACATGACTGAAGTGACTTAGCACGCACGCATACATTACTAAGCTTATAAAAAAGGGAAATAATAAAAAAAAGAATATATATAATAAACATATATATCTGAATCACTTTTCTGTATACCTGAAACTAACTTTAATTTAAAAAAATTAAAGTTAGTTTAAATTAAATTAAATTAAATTAAAAAAATGGTTTAATTAAAAAAAACGGTTAATATGGTAAATTTAATGTTATATATTTTTTATCATTAAAAAATCAACAAAATAATAAAATTTAAAAGATATATAAGTGGCTTGAGAATTGGATGCACCCCTCATTTCAAACCTTTGAAGCAGAATTTCCACATAGCAGGGACAGACCTAGGGAAATCAAGGAGAAGCTTGTATTTAGAGTTCCTGGTCATCAATCTTAGCGTTCCTGTATCTCTTTCCCAGCAGGAGTCCTCTCTGCCACCCCTCAGGATGACACAATCTGCTGATAATTCCTTAGCTTGGTACAGTTGAGCAATCCATTTGCTGTCCTTGACCCCTTTCTTTCCCTTGTCTCTCCCATCCCTCTGCCCCAATCCAGCCTCACCCAGGCTCTTCTGTCTCTCTGCTGGGCTCCAGCAGTAGCATACGACCTAGTCTCCTGCATCCCTGCTACTCCTTGCCACCACCCCCGATCCATTTCCCTCACACACCAGCCACAAAGATGTCTTTTACACATTATTCAGATCGGGCCATTCCTTAGCTTCAAATCCTTTAATACCCTCCCTTGGAGAAGGAAGTGGCAACCCACTCCAGAATTCTTGCCTGGAGAATCCCATGGAGAGAGGAACCTGGTGGGCTACAATCCACAGGGTTGCAAAGAGTCGGACACGACTGAGCAATTTCACTTTCACTTTGCACTGAAAATGAAATCAACCCCTTTCATGACTCTCTCCTCCCCTGTTTGAACCTCCTGCCCCTTCCTCACGTGCGCTCAACTCATGACCACCTTGGGAACTTTGCGCTTGTTCCCTCTTCCTGGAATGTTCTCTAAACAGCTAGCTGTTTCTTAGGCTTTAGGAATGGCTGACAATGTCATTTTTCTAGATTCCTTCTTGGTCCTCCCCCACCCCTCCCCTCATGTCTGTCCTCTTATAAAATTGCCCGCTTCCTCATAATCACTGTTTACTGCAGTTACAACACTTATCTCAATCTGAAATCATTCTGTTTATTTGTTCATATTTTCATTGTTTGCTTGTTTTCCTCTATTAGAAAATAAGCTCCATGAGGATAAGCCCTGCCTATTTTGTTCACCATTTTATTACCAGCATCCAGAACAACACTTTTCACATAATAGCCATACAACAAATACTTGTTCAATAAAAGAACAAGTGAAATGTGAATCTGATTTTCCTAAGAGTCCTGTGAGACAGAGAAAATATTCTCAGTCCTAGTTTACCAACATATTTTACAGAATATCTGTGCTTACCAAAACTACATAAGTGATTTTTTTCTTCCAAGTCCTCTATGCTGCATTCTATTTACTGGTTTGTAAATAGGTAATCTTAGCCCTCTTCGAAGATGGAAGAGGCAGGAAATGGGGCACTTGAAGAAACTACAAGTCATACTATATACACGTTCTTATTCATGAACCTGTAGCCACAGACAAAGAAGTGCTGAGGGAGGGTCCCATCTCCTCCATGTCTCTACTGAAGCCACGCATAGCATGGCTGGACGAGCAGGAGACCACTGTGGGTCACTGCAGGGGCTTTGTAGGAAGATAGATCTGGGTTCCACTTTTACTTCTACTACTTACTGGCTGTGTCTTTAGACATGTTCATTATCTTTTCTGATACTTGATCTCCTTTCTTGTAAAATGAGAATAACATCATGATCTTTTAAAGTTATTTGAGTGGGTGAGGGGAATTCCTTGGTAGCCCAATGGCTAAGGTGCTGCACTCCCAATGCAGGGGGCCTGGGTTCGATTCCTGGTCAGGGAATTTGACCCCACATGCCACAGCTAAGACCATGTTGCAACTAAAAATTCTGCATGCCACAACTAAGACCTGGCACAGCCAAATAAATGATGAATAAAAAGAAATATTTAAAGTTTTTTGGGGGATTATTAAAGAAGAGAAGATCTGATGTTTGGTATACAGTTGGGCTTCCCAGGTGGTGCTAGTGGTAAAGATCCTGCCTGTCAATGCAGGAGAAGTAAGAGATATCAGTTCAGTCCCTGGCTTAGAAAGATCCCCTGGAGGAGGGCATGCAACCCACTCCAGTATTCTTGCCTGGAGAATCCCAGGGACAGAGGAGCCTGGCAGGCTATAGTTCATAGGGCTACAAAGAATCAGACATGACTAAAGTGACTTAGCACACAGCACAGGTGCTGTATAAAGAATATGGTGTCAGATTGTTATAAACATGGGATTGAACAGGCTTACCAGAAGTTCAGCTTTCCAACACCTCCCTCTTCCACCTATAGATATGGAAGGGAAGTTAATTTCTAGCTCTTAGAACTGACAAGCTCTTGATAATCATCCAGTCAAGCTACTTAATTTGTACTCTGAAGAAACTCACGACCAGAGAAGGTGGTGACTTGACTGAGCATCCTAGGACAGTAGCAATGGAACTGGAGATGGAAGCGGAACCTGAGTGAACTACTCCTGTTTGTGACTCTACTCACTGTAGATACCATAAGGCATGGACATCCCAGATTTCCACCTGTTCCTTTTCTTGGCTGATGTACACAACTTAAATCAGGAGGTTTCCCTCAGGGCAGGTGGAATCATTCAGATATGAGCAGCCCCTGAGGAGTCCTGGGGCCTTCCCCAAAGCCCAGTTACTGGCTTGTGAAATGAACAGTCACATCTTCTCACTGATTCTTAGTTCCATCCTCTACAAAACAGGGATGGTATTGGGGGAGAATGGATACACATGTATGTGACTGGCTGAGTCCCTTTGCCGTCCACCTGAAACTATCACAACTTTGTTAATTGGCTATATGCCAATATAAAATAAAAAAGTTAAAAAAATAGGGATGATAACAGTACTTACCTCTTAGGATTGCCATAAAGATTAAATAAAATAACTCATGTAAAAATTGCCTGCAACTCAGAAACAATAATAGATCAATTTCTAAACTTGTATAAAAGTGATTTAAAAGTGCCTGTTGTAAGAGGAAAATATAGTTTTGCTCATATAATACAATATGTAATATATAATAATTTATTACTAACCGTGGAAAAATATAAAATATATAGTTCTAAAGAAATATATTGATTACCACTGAATATTGTTGACTAGAAGAGAATGAAGCATCACAAACTGACAGGTAAATTAAGTCCCTTACTGTACATGTCATATTGCAAAAGCAAATAATGAGACTGCATTTTATTTGTTTGTACCAATAAGTGAGTTATAATATGAAGTACATCAGGATAAATTTCTGCATAGTCTATAGAGTAAATATATCAATAAAGATGGGCACAAAGAAAGCAGCTATATAAAATAAACTTGAATGAATTGCTATACATGGAGTTGCAGCACTAGTAGCTAAAAAATATTTCACTAAAAACTAGCACAAAATATAGGAGCATTTTTTGCATTAGCAGGAATGTCAATATTATGTGGGCAGTTAAATCAAATTGCTCACAGAAAGTTAGTATACAAAAAGCAACAAAGAAACAAATTGAATTTCAACAGAAATCTCATCCGATACCCCACAACAATGGACAGAAACAAAAAAGTGACCAAAAGTGACCAAAAAGCCTTCTTAGCAGTTTACTTTTTATCCTCAGAACCCAGGAAGCCTTCTCCTTTAACTCCCACCAAACAAACCCTCTGCCTCTGCTGCATCCTGATGAGTCTCTTCATCATTAGGTGTCACTGCTTTAAAGACAAAGCCAACACACCTTCAAATCAGCAAATCCATGTTTTTAGACTGATTTCATCACTATCTTTTGCTTTGTATGAGTGTGTTTACTATCAACCCTAGACTTCTCTTCTAGTTTTCAAATCTTTGTAATTTTTTTTTTTTTTGGTTGTTGCAAGATCTGAATAGTATCTGGCAACTCTATTATGCTCTTTTCTCTCTAGGTCTTAAAAAAGCCTAAGACTGACTCTCATGTTAGAAAATAGCTGATACTGCTTTTGAGCCAATAACTTATATAATAAATAATTAAAAAAAAAGAGAGAAGTATAATGTGAAATAGAAATTATTACAGGAATAATATAAATTCTACACCCATCAATCTGGGGACTTACAATCTTTTAAGATAACTCCTAAAGGGTGCTGCACCTCACCAGTAGGCGGGAATAATAATTGCCATGGCTTGATCATCCATTACATCCCTTCCCTCTTAGTTTTGAACTTTCTATTGGCAGCACTTAAGTCAACATGGGATGATTTTTAGACACCTCTTTCAGTGGAAAAATACATAGTATACATTAACTAGTATGATAATTTAAATCATTTATGCACAAACACAGCGTCACTGAGGACAGTGACTGCAGCCATGAAATTAAAAGATGCTAGTTCCTTGGAAGAAAAACTATGACAAACCTAGACGGCTTATTAAAAGGCAGAAACACCACTTTGCCAACAATAATCAAAGCTATGATTTTTCCAGTAGTCATGTACAGATGTGAGAGTTGGGCCATCAGGAAAGTTGAGCACTGAAGAATTGATGCTTTTGAACTGTGATGCTGGAGAAGGCTCTTGACAGTCCCTTGGACAGCAAGGAGATCAAAACAGTTGGTCCTAAAGAAATCAACCTTGAATATTTATTGGAAGGACTGATGCTGAAGCTGGAGCTCCAATACTTTGGCTACATGATGCAATGAGCCAACTTATTGGAAAAGACCTTGATGTTGGGAAAGATTGAGGGCAGGAGGAGAAGGGGGTGACAGCGGATGAGATGGTTGGATGGCATCAATGACTCATTGGACATGAATTTGAGCAAACTCAGGGAGATAGTGAAGGACAGGGAAGCCTGGCATGCTGCAATCCATGGGGTCACAAAGAATTGGACACGATTTCGTGACTAAACAACAACAATACTGCACATATACATCATTTCAAGCTCGGAAAACTATGTTTCCAATAGTAGCCTAGTAGCCTAAACAAAGCTATAACTTATTTCAGTACTTCTTAAAATGTGATCCATGGAACACCTGTATCAGAATCCACTGGAGGCGTCTGCTAAAAACAGAGGTCTGCACATATACATCATTTCAAGCTCGGAAAACTATGTTTCCAATAGTAGCCTAGTAGCCTAAACAAAGCTATAACTTATTTCAGTACTTCTTAAGATGTGATCCATGGAACACCTGTATCAGAATCCACTGGAGGCGTCTGCTAAAAACAGAGGTTCATAGTCTCCAACCCCCTTCTCCTTTAAAGTCTACTGAATTAGATTATAATTTTTAACAAGGTCCCCAAGTGATCCTGGGCCCAGTAGAGTTTGCCAGTCAGGACATATCACATTGGGCTTCCTCCCTGCATATCTCAGTGAGCAGGTAAAAGTCAGCTGAACGCAACAGCCCTCCTCTCAGGTATTCGCCCAGGTGGCAGTTTTTGCTTTGCTAGAATTCACAGGTTCTGTAAGACTGCATTTGAACTTTGAATTGTGATATTTACTGCAGACCCTTCTCTTTGATTACCTCCTTGAACAGTTCTCTAGATAATCACCCTTTTCCTCCCCAATCCCCTCATCAAGGCCACACACCCAGCATGGGCTGCTTTGTGCAGTATATTGGGTTCACTCTGACCCATCTGTGGTCCAGGATAAAGAAATCACAGAGGGGTCATGCTACCAGGACAGCCTCTCTCCTTGGCTCAGACAAGCCATGGAGACGGGGAAATTTACAAAGACATTATAGAGAGCCACCTCACTCAGGGAGGAGGGTTTTAGACACCCCACAGGACAGACAAACCCAAAGGTACTTGTTTTTGAAAGAACACATAAATTAAACTTAATGAGGCAGGGAGTCGGATGATCTTTGTGATTGACTGATTTCCTATAAATTCAGGGCACCCATCCCAAATTCAGGGCAAACTCTATATAATTAAAATCTAAGGAAAAGTCTGAGTTTCTATGGTATATGCTTTTGGGCCACTTTTGAATGCATTAACTCTGGGAATCAGAACATTTAGGGAGCAGCTAGGCAAATGTTCCCTGGGTACCAGAGTGCTACTTAGGCACGAAGGGATATGGGAGGGTTCTGTTTGGCCATGTGGAAGATGCTGTAGAATCACCTGAGTTTGTTCTGGTTTTTTTTTTTTTTTTTTGCTACAGAAGCAGTATTTCATTATAGGACATTTTAATCATTGCTGAGGTTTTCTCAAATGTCTATAAATGAGTCTGGGTATACAGCAGTGGGTCTGTAGCTCAACAGTAGCTGCATATGACAGTGGTCTTCCAGGTGGACTGTTCCTGTAGCGATGATGCAAGCTGACTCATTCAAATATGGAGAGAAAATATTAGGACATCTAACTGTAAAACACTGCATTATAGATGTTCACTTCTGTGGGGTTTTTTTGTTTGTTTTTTACTGCACTGTGGAGCTTGCAGGATCTTAGCTCCCCAACCAGGGACTGAAGCCAGGCTCTTGGTGGTAGAAGTGCAGAGTCCTAACCAATGGACCACCAGGGAACTCCCCGTGGGCTTTTTATATGTCTAATGCCTGTATATAGATAATAAAAATGAACAGACATTTATTGAGGGTGTGTGCTCAATAATTTTTTACTGACTAGGGTGTACAGTTAAAAAAATTGGAGATTACTGTCCCATAAGGTAATGGATTAGGTGAAAGCAGAATAACAACTCGATTTTAGTTTCCTGAGCGATTTCTCAATTGTGTGCTGTTTACCCGTCATTTAGCCACTGGTTTGGTAGCTAGGATTGTAAAACTGTAACTAGGGGATAATCTGCTGGTGGTAACTAAGGAACTCCAAGACAAACCACTGAGTCATGGCTGTGATCAGATGCTTTCTATT